GTCCTGCGCCGGAAAAGGAGTCTCTTCAGCGGTCTCGGAGAGTCAAGAAAGCCCGTGGATCGGTCTGTTCTCCTTGGTTTCTAGGCCCGCGCTGTCACTGCTCCATAAATATCTGCCGGGTCAAGCCCGACAGACATGTCGGCCAGAGCCGGGCGCCCGTTTAATGAGTGCAGGGTCTCAGCGCAGCGTCGTGGACGAAGACAGGACATTGTTAAAGCAGCTGGACGCCTTACTGTCTCCACAACACGTGGCTCCGCAACTCACCGTGCTTCGTTGTGAACATGGCGGAACGGCGGTGCCATGGCTCAGCGGTGTCGATACAATGCGGGACCTGGGGATTGAAAGCGTTGAAGAAATTGAAATCAAGTTCCAGGAGAACCAGAGCAGGATTGTGTCCTCAGCCAAATCTTTTCTGACTCAGGCTCTGCTGAACTCTGTGGCCCAGGAGACCAGACCATCAGTGGGTATGGACTGGCTCAAAGTGAGGACAGGTGAGAGCAGGACACGGTGGAGCAGTATTTGGGCTGGAGAGGAGAACTCGAGGCCAGAACATTTGGCCAAAACTGAGGGCAGGACAGGGACAGAGTTAGTCTGTCCTCAACAACAACTCTGGACAAAGACAAAAGACCGAAGAGTTGCGTTTGTAGGAGAAAACACTGGAGTCAGTGACAACAATGCCTCACAGTGTCACAATGACACTGACACCGACGGGGTGCAGAACCCAGAGAGATCGATGGCAGAGGAGCTGCTCCAAATCAGCGGTAGGATCACTTCAGAGCCGGACAATGGTTACTCCAGTCTGGAGGACGACCTCATTCTGATGAGCCGCCTACTGACGGCCACGCGGGAGGCGAAGCCATGCCAACTCCGTGATGATCATAACACAAACTTGGAGGAAAAGTGCTGTCAGGGCGAGACGTCTTCGTCAGCAAATGCAGATGAAAAAGACGAGCAGGAACAGGAAGAAGGTCCTGCAGAGTTGGTGAGTGTAACAGTGGGCCCCGCCCCTCAGTGTCAGAACAAGGCTATTGCCTTCATCATGGGCTGTCCCTGCAGTGATGAAGATGACGACAGCAGCACCCAATCAGACAACAGTGACTCCAGCGACGAAGACGAAGACGACGACGACGACGGCTTCGACAGCGAGGGCTCGTCTGAGCTGTCCAGCTCTTCGGACGAAGATGACGAGGACTCATCTGGTTCCGACAAGGAGCAGGAGTCGGAGGCAGACCGCCTCTGGAACTCTCTGTGCCACAGTCTGGATCCGTACAACCCCCGGAACTTTACTGCCATGCAGCAAAGCTCTGGCACGTCGCTGAGAACCATCTCGACCGCATCGCAGCCCCGTGCCACGCCGTCCGGCCCGGCCTCCCCTCCAAGCCCGACACCTGCTTGTACTCTTTCCTCCTCCCAGGACAACGTTTCCTCCCCTGCCGCCTCCTTGCAGCCCGGTCAAGACAGCTGGGACGACTCGACGTCGGCGAGTGAGGTGGACGAGTCGGAGAGCCTGCTCCTCTGGACCACCTTCAGTTCCTCAGATCCCTATAACCCTCTTCACTTTCAGGCGCCACAAAGAACTTGTAGGCCGGGCAGGACGACTGCTCTCTCTGCCCAGGTCAAAAGGTCCCAACCAGGGCCCACACTGTGCCCCCGCCATTCCCCGACGACAGCTGGACAGGGGCAGGAGGACAGGCTTGACAGTGGTTTCTCTGAACTGACAGTATATGGCGCTTCAACCAAAAAGGTCAGTGTGAATTTGAGTTATAGTTTTTGGGACTTACCTGAGAGGACATAACTAGTTCCTGTCACCAGTGTCCTCAGAA